GAGGCAGAGGGAGAAGCAGGCTCCCCACTGAGCAATGAGCCCAATGTGGGACTCTATCCCAAGATGCTGGGATCATGACCTGAGCTGAAGGCAGCCACTTAACTGACTGAGCCACCCAGGCATCCCTCTTGCATCCCTTTTTGTGGGAGGTTAGTGAAGACAAATGCTGTGAAGATGTCTTAGGGATGCTGCCAGGGGTTTTTGTGCCCTAGGAAGCTGCATGTTTCCCAGGGTCCCACGGCAGGAGTGAGTCAGGAAGGTCTGTCTTTAGCCTCTGACAAAGGGCCGTGAACGTTACACCCTACAGATCAGTTCTTCCTTCCTGCTCCTCTTGGACTCTGGGACATTTCTCTTTTATTTCCTCATTCTCTTTTATTCACCCTCCATCACCAGAATGAAACCTTTGAACTCTCCTATTCAGAATCTCCCACGTGGAAGGTAGTGTCCCTCTCGATTTTTCCTTCCATGGGCCCTGTTTCCCAGCCTTCCTGGGTAGTGTTCTGGGCATTCATTTCTGCTCTGGCTCCTTCCTACCTCCCTTCTCTCTCTTCTCCATTTCTCCCAGGAGTACTCATTCTCACAAAGGCAATTCTCTCATTCTTTTTTTTTTTTTTTAAGATTTTATCTATCTATTTATTGCTGGGGGTTGTGGCTGAGGGAGATGAAGAGAATCTCAGGCAGACGCCCTGTTGAGTGGGGACCTGATGCCCTCTCTGTCTCACATGCCTGAGATCATGATCTGAGCCAAAACCAAGAGTCAGATGCTCAACAGACTGAGCCACCCAGGGGCTCTGATTCCCTCACTCTTCAACCCTGTCACTTTAGGAACACAGGGTCCTGTGCCTCAGCACCTTTTTACATCACTTGTCACCTTTTTCTTTAAAGTCATCCCTTGGGCATTCAGGTCTAATCTTGTGACTGAAGGAAATCTCAGCTCTAAGTGTGCCATAACTTGATTCCTTTGTAAAACAGTTCATGAGCATGTCCAAGTCTGTGTGAAAATGGAGACATTCTGAGCTTCTTAGTATTATTTCCTCATCTCCTTCTGAAATTCATGGGTTGATGTACTTTAGCTTCGGGAAAGACAGCAGCAAACTTGGTCAGTGTGCTCCAAACGCCTTTACCTACAAAACAGCTTTTCTTAATAATTAGAAATCTACTTCAAGGATCGTTATTAAGGGATCCATTTCTCTCATTCGAGGTAGGTTTTCTGAGGGCTTCCTCTGTGTCCAGAGCAAAGACATCTGCTTTCACCCCAGCTGGGAGAGCCAGGCGATAATCAACAGCATCAGTAAATATTTACCACGTTGTGTTGGAGGGGCTATAAAGAAAAGTGAAGGAAGGAAGCATATGAAACCTTGCCAAGTAAGAGTGAGTAGAAAATTAAAATCAGATGATGTATTAGTTAGCTAGTGTCATGTGATAAATCACCCACAAAATACAGTGGCTTAAAATGGTAGCATGTTCATTGCTCTCATGTTTATTGGTTGGCTGCACAGTTCTGCTAATATGGGCCCAGGCTTGAATGTTCTTGATTGATCTTGGCTGGCTTGCTCTGTGCTTAAAATTGGTGGACTGGTGCTCCTGATGTAGAAGGGCTCACATTTCCTTCCTCTCTTTCACATTTCTGTGGCAGGGGGCAGACCATCTTGACCTAGGAAATAGGAAATGGTATACATGGCTTTAAGTGAGGTTGGAGGAGGAGCTGTTAGAACCTGAAGAAGGAGAGAGAAAGAGTGAAGACTGACGAGACCAGGGAAAGGAAGTATGATTGTGGGGCAGGGTGAAGGGCCTCAGGAGGTGATTGGTCATGAATCAAAGTTGGAGCAGTTGAGATTGCTGTGTTTTCCTCCAGCAGGTATGTGGAGGGTTGGAACTTTGCTACATGAAATGAGACAATGGAAGGCTGAGGAAGATCTTATGTATAGGGGGTTGTTATAAAGAAGGATCATGGAATTCAGCTGAGGAAGGAGGGAAATGAGACTATGAAGGGCTTAAAGACAAGAAAATATGGAAAGGTCAATAGACTCACTAAAAGCTAATTTTCAGAAAACAGTAAAATTATGACTCTCATTGAGAGATAGTAATGACGAACATGGGTTGAATTATTTTACTCATATGCTATGAGGGAATGAAGAAGATGTAACTGGTTCAAAGGAAAAGTCAAAACACACAGATATATTTGGAGTAAAGGAATGAACTACAGAGAGAGGCATGCTCGTTCTCCAAGGTGAGTTAAGACATCAGTTAAGTAACTACCAGACAGGAGAGAATCATTCATCTATCTGTTACTACCAATTTATAAAGAGTTGCAAGATAACTCAAAGATAATGACGAGGGTTGGACCCTGATAACCTGGAAAGGTACACTACAGACATGCCAAATTTTCCATGGAAACACAACATATATTTTTCCTATAGATTTTAGGTCTTACTGTAATGAAAGCCAGAAATTATTGGCAGAGGCATACCCAGTGGATTGAGCTGCAGAGTTCTTAGAATGGGTCAATGCTGAGATACTCAACACTTAAAAAAACCCGTTTATTTATTTATTTATTTATTTGAGAGAGAGAGGGAGAGGGAACACCTGAGGATATGAGCAGGGGAGTGGCAAAGGGAGAAGAAGCAGACTCCCCGCTGAGCAGGGCTCCATCCCAGGACCCTGGGGATCATGACCTGAGCTGAAGGCAGAGGCTTAATGGACTGAGCCACCCAGGCTCCCCTGAGATGCTCAGCATTGTAATGGTGGAGAATTTGTCCTGATTTTCTGATGGCGCATCTAAGGCATGGGCAGGAGAGTGACTGATCAAGACTGGGTGGGGAAGAGACGATTGGAGGAGGGTCAGCCAAATAACTGAGAAAGCAGGTAATGGAAGGTCATATACTGAGTACACTGAAACCACCGGGAATTGTGACAGGCTGAGAGAGGCTCTAGGAGGCAGGAACTAAAATTTTCCAGAAACCAGGAGCGACTTTGGGGCTGGTGTTTGTCTGCAAAAAGGTGTGATCCTAGAGTGGCCTAGTCTACCTATCTTGATTTCAAACACTGTTCTTCCACTTTCTAGGCAGGTCTAGAAGTCTAGAAGTGGCTGAGGGGGCGACAGAAGCTCTGTGAGCAGGCCGCTTCTAAAAGCAGCTCAGGGCACTTTTAGAAGGGACACGGTCTACTGAGCATCTCAGTGGTTTGGAGGGTGACTGTTGAGGGAGAAGATGTCCAGGTGGTGAGTCCTTTATCTCTCCCATCTTCCATATTTTTTGTTTGCCTCCCTTGTATAATCTGTTTTGCTGTTCTTTAGAAATTTAAAATGTTTTCTAGTGACAAAAGCAGCCTGCTCTTTGCTCCTGGTTTTGCACTAGAAGTCTTTTTTTTTTTTTAATGTTAAAAATATATTGGGGGAAAAATGATGTGCATTGGTTCCAGCACAAGGATAGACGGAGATCTAGTGTTTTCTCCATCATGAGATTTTTTTCTCTGGATTAAAATTTGAATGGCAAAGTCAGGACCTTGATCTGGAAGCCAGATTTCTAAATATTTCTACATATAAATGAAATCATAGGATGTTTGCCTTTCTCTGGATTTACTTCACCTCACAATACCCTATTGGTCCATCCATGTTGTGCCAAATGACTGGATTTCATTCCTTTTATGGCTGAGTAAAATTTCATAGTATATATGGACATCATCTTTACAGGATTAAGAGCTTATATCTGCTATGCATTTCCAAGTCTGTTTGGGAGCTTGAAGAAAAAGTTTTACTAATCCTTCCCAGCCATATTTTCTGTGAGGTTAGTGTGTATAGAATGTTATCTAGAGAATATAGCACAAAAACAGTTAGTGTAACTGGGAAAGAAGAAATTCAGAGAGTGGGAAAATAAGCAATAATAAATTATGAAGGATATCAAATATTATCCTACTGAAAATATCACAAAATTTCTAAGCTCAAAAATGTATGTAATTGTGTTGCCACAAATATGCCTCAGGTTTCTGATGCTCAGGCTGAGTAATTGTCCCTGAGCCCTACACACAAGCCAGGAGTGTTAGGCTGACATTCATGGCAGCTGTGCCTGCCAGCACACTGCTCAGCCCACAGGCTGATCATGTCCCTTCTGGAGCTGGTTGTGCCCCACTGAGGCTGTTGGTGCCCAGAGGTCAGGACTCGGTCCAGAGCACTCAGCTGCACGTTACTGACCTGAGTTCCCCAGCACCTGCCTCTGATGCCAGCTCAGAGCCTCTGCTGTGTCGGCTCCTGGCTCAGGCAACACACGTACCCAGTGGGGACTGCCAAACCGAGAGGTTTGTGATCGAGGCTGAACCACTGTGGGAGGAAAATGTGTACTTTGCTCGCAGTAATAAACTCCCACATCGTCAGCCTCCACCCTGCTGATTCTCAGGGTGAAATCTGTCCCTGATCCACTGCCACTGAACCTGTCTGGGACCCCAGTGAAACGGTTGGAAACCTTATAGATGAGGAGCTGTGGTGACTGGCCTGGCTTCTGCAGGTACCAACTCAAATAGGTGTTTCCATTACTGTGTACGAGGCTCTGACTGGCCCTACAGGAGATGGAGGCCGGCTCTCCGGGGGTGACTGAGAGTGAGAGTGGAGTCTGTGTCAGTATGACCTCCCCACTGGATCCTATAACAATGAGAGATAAGTACAGGTTATGGAGAAACATTATGAGCCATTATTATGAATTTAAATTTCATTTATATTAGGCTAAATCTTATTTTGTAATTGGATTCCTACTGTAAATATATACCGTTTCCATGGATAATCCAAAATTGCAGGGCACAGAGTGGCCACAGTTTTTTTTCCCAGCATCTCACTAAAACACTGTTCTTTGTTCTCTTTAATTTCTCATAATTTTTTTGGATTTCAAAATTAAATTCCCCTCTTGGAGAGCAATCTTACCCCTGGACAGAGCGCACATAGAGACTAACAGCACCCAGACAGTTCACCCTCCACACCCCAATCTCCGATCTCCTCTCAGCTCTGCTCTTACCTGGGACCCAGAGCATCAGCAGCCCCAGGAGCTGAGATGGGAACCTCATTTTGAGAAGCTGAACTGCTGAGTCCTAGTAAGTAAACACAAGCTCAGAGCTAACCTTTATGTCAGACTTCCAAGGCAAGGTCCTCCCCAGGGGACAATATGCAAATCCTGTGGTTCCTGTGGTAGAGAGGAAAGAGCCAAAGGCAGGGGGCAGGGCCCTCTCCTGGGAGTGCAGTAACTTAAAATGTTTTTTGTGTTTGCAGGGAAACTAACAGAGACAAATTCCCTACTGCTTGTGTGGGAAGCAGGAAATCCCTGTGATAATCAGGATCTGTGGCAGGACACAGTGCTCATAGACCTGCCTTCTGAGAAAGCTCCAGAGATCCTGACGATAGAGGCACGCGTGTCCAGTGCCCATTTCTGGCAGGTGAATGGCCATCCTGCCTGGATTCCTGTCAGCTAATGTCCAGGAGACAACAGGTCCTACTCCAGCTGAGTGGCCAGCGATCTCCAGATCCCAGGATAAACTGGAGAGAGATCAGGAGTCTCTGGGATCTGCTGTTTCCAGGTTAATGGTTTAGGCAATTTATTAATGAGTTATTAATGAATTAAACTCACCCTAGGACCTCGTGAATTATCTACTCTTTGAGAAGATGAAAGTGAGAGGAACTTGACAGGTAGAAAAGAATCTCTCACTTACACAAGGAGAACTCATAGTCCTGCAGAAGAGAATAGGATTATATGCTTCAGGCAGTGTATGATGTTTGTGGTAACCGATTGTTACAATTTGGTGTGTATCCTGTCCTAATTCTGTCTCCCTACCCAGAGAGACTGATAGTTGGATAGGTGGATAGTAGGCAAGACAGACAGATGATAGAACATACATACCATATGGTACATATTAGATAAGGTAGACACACACACACACCGTATCAAACAGAGTGATTTCTTAAGTCAACATTGTCTAAGTGGATGGACAGAATAAACAATATTTCCCATTTCTGAGAAAATAATATTTCTCCTTTCCATACAGAAGCTTCCTCATCGTGTGTAACCAATTTCTGTTAGGGGGTCTAGTTCCTTGTTAGTTCTGTGTGAGAAGTTTTTGTCTCTCACTTGATTTTATGTTCAGCATCCGCAGCTCTGAGTCTATAGTTGAAAATAAGATTCTGTAGGTGAGAATAGCAAGGACTGGGATAAAACTTCTAATAATTTGGCATCACCCTTACCTTTGACGGACATTTTCTGAGGTCTTTGGTGAACCACAGTCGCTGTGGAATAGGGTGCAGGGTCAGCGCTGCTTGGGACATCAGTTTACCAACCATCCTTCATTAAAGTTGGGACATAACCTGATGATTCTGCCTGTGTCAGCCTGATGTAGGTGTTAGTCAGTTGGTGCGATTTGTGTCAGCGTTAAATTACCTCACAACTCAAGTCACTCTCGGGCAAACAAAATCCTAGAGAAACTGAAGGAATAGAATTTGTAGTTCTGTTAGATCTCAGGGAATTCAAATCCAAGGTCACACTGAACTGAAGAGTTACTGAATACATGCAAGTCCAGGCAAGATTACACAACAAATCTCGGTCTGAATATCTTCTTGGAACTCCGCCTAGAGTGCGATTTTGTACCAGAGCTGGAGGAATTGCTATGTAACAATGGTACTGTAAGTATACCCTGAACTCTATGGAGGGACTTGGGTGCTGATGACAAGTTGTGATAGAAGTAGGACTAATAGCCCATGTCCCGTATGTAACTAATTGTCATTTTATTTACTCTTTCATGTGTTTTCTTCCGATCTTTTCTGAGATTGCTAGCCAAGCAATCTTGATCTTACTCTTGAACACCCAGCCCTCCTAATGAATCCTGCTGGTGAATGATTCAGAAAGTTAAACCAGTGGAAATGAATAAAATCAGGAAAAAAATAAAAAGAAAAATATAAGATAATATCATAAATCTTAAGATGAGTTTGAAAACTATTCATTACAAATGTTAATTTAAGAAACACAATATCTAACACTGTGTGTCAAATATACTAAAAAAATCAGAATAAAATTACCCATTACCATATGTGAAACGTCAATATGTGTAAATTTGGCTGAAAATTATTCATCCATCATATTTATTTCCTGTGTATCAGTTTTGAAACTATTTTTTGTACAAAGTATTCCTAAGAATGCTTGAACTTCAAAAATATTTCCTATAAAACTTAACATGAAACTTTAAAAGTCTCCTTTTGTGATTATTTCATAATTTCTTGCCCTGAAAAACCTAAAAAATGCAAAAATCTTCTACAGCTTCTTTCTTGACAGAGAAGTCTTTGAAACTTTCCTCTGCTACCTGTAGACTGAAGAAAGACTGTTCCTATTTCCTAAAAGGAGTCTTTATCCCCTGTGTATGTAGGAACTTTGTTGTACCCTGGACAATAAAAGCGAGTTCATCAACATTGGTTACTGCACACCACACAGAAATCATTGGCATCTGTAAGGGATGTAAGAAGAACCTCCATGAGGTCCAGGTGGGGAACAGGACTCTAGGAGTCTTTAATCTTGACCACCATCACCTCAGTGAGCAAGGACTTACACAGGTGGGTTTCGTTGCACTTTTGTCTCTTTGCCAGGGGACGTCCCTTTAGAATCCATAAAACGGAAAACCAATGTGTCATTTGTGTCCCTTGGGACGATTCTCTTGCTACTTTGTGTATGTGAGTCCATTTTTCTGGGGTCAGGGTGTGTGGGTGTGTGTGAGTGTGATGCTGTTATACATTCTGTAGAACTTGATCTATAAATTTTCTCAAGCCAAACAGCACAAACTTATATTGCTTTGGCCAAGTTGATGGACAACAGACCTGTGTCCTGACTGAGCCTAAACAGAGGTTCTCTCTGCCACCCAGCAGAGGGAGGGTCTCGAACAGGAGGTCTGTTGGGTAGATTCTTGGGACCTGTGACTGAAATGGGTCACATTTTCTAAATAACTGCAAATACCCACTAGAGTATGAATGCACAGAGAATAATTTTGGCTCCAGGCAGCTCACATATATATGTGAATGTGTTGATCTTCTGACTTTATAAGTTATTTCTGAACCATGTGAAGCAGGTTATTTATGAGATTCAATGATCAAGATATTTCAAAGCCCTGGTCTCCATATACATAATCTGAATTCCTTCCCAATATTGTCATTTATCTTCTTTATTCTTTTGGAAGAAGTAAATAACTAAATGACTTTTGTAGGACCAAAATTCATGTGAGTCCTTTGAAGAAATGGGAGCAATGTCTTATGTTGGATGTGAAGGTTATACTTGTATCGATGCTAATCCTTGGTCAGGGCCCCCAGTCACCACCCTCTAATCAGGGAAAGTGAGACAGAAGTTCCCTTTGAGCACAGGCCACTTCATAATCCCTGTATTTAATAGACGTTTAACTCTGTGTAGCAATTTGCATCCCCAACCCCAAATTGTCTCCTGTGAGGGATGGAACTTCTGTCCTGAGGAGTTCTCATGGACTCCTATAGCTTTCTTGTCAGTTAACAAATACTCTTCCACTACTTTAATTTGAGATGGATTGTTTCTTTGTGTACTTGCTTTTTCCCTGTGGAAGGTTTGCTCCCTTGTCTCCTCCACCAGAGCACTGCTTTCCTCCATGTGTCCTTCTAACAGAAAGCTCTCTCATCAGGGCAGAGAGGACACATTCTGAGTCCCGAGTTCCTTAGGGAAAATAAGGAAGCAAGATTTTCTCAATACATCTATAGCGAAACCTTAAGGTCTTTCCTTTGAGAACTGGCCTTCCCCTGAGCCAATGTGCTTGAGAGTAGGAACTGACTGGGGTCTAGGAACTGAGTCAGAAGCTGTGACTTTAGGTTTCAACATCCCTTAACTAGAGTTAGCCAGTTCAAGAGACAAAATACTCTGAGGGTCATCACATTGACTTAATTTCTCATAACATCTGCTCAATTATCTACTGCCACATTCATTCTTTCTGACATCATTCTGTCCCTGTGCATTTTGGAAAATGGACAGCTTCTGCCTATGCAGGTTATTCTGACCATGTGGTCTGTGCTACTCTCTGACATCACTGGTCACACTCATTGTTCCCCAGAAAGCAGACTCACATCAAATATAGCATGTGCAACACTGGCTGGGGAATGTTGCTGACATCACCACCTCCAGAAAGAGAAGGCAGGATTGGGCAGAGGTGGAGTGGAACTTGGATGCAGTAGAACAAAAGCTTATGCCAGCTCCCTGGGGGGTGCAGCCCTGTGGTTGCCCTCCAGAGTGGACCTGACTGGGGACACACAGGTTAGATCCTTTCCGAGGATATCACCACTTCCTCTCATGTTGTACCATCATGAACCCGTGATGCACCTGCCAGAGATGCCAGTCTTTTCATAGTGGTTCCTCCTTTCTCCTCAGATTCCCTCACTTTCACTTTTATTTTATTTTTATTTTTATTTTCACATACATTCTTTATGGAATGTATAGAGTGTCTATCACCTTATTTTTGTCATCACTCTGGGACTTTGGATTTTTATTGAAGGAATTTTTAAAGTTTGTGACAGGAAAGAAAAATGACTTTAGCTTTCTTAAGGGAAGACCTCCAATCTGGGTCTATATCCATCCCATATGTATGTTTCGGAAGGAGACTGTTGTCCTTTCACATTGTGAGGAGGTGTCCCCACTGTCCCAGACACTGGGCACAAGAAACCACCCAGGGATGGAGAAGCTCCAGTGCACAGTAGCCAAGTGGTGGTCCCTGAACAGCTGTGTGGAGGACACCAAGCACTTTCAAGATGCAGTTTCCTCAGGGGCACAAGCCTCCTGACTCTGGGTCTGCTCTCAATGGCTTCATGTCCACACTTCATCCTCCAGAGCAGCTGTCTCTGGCTCTAAAGGGCAGCATGGAGAACGTAGCTTGAGAAGGACTAGCCCATCAAGGGTGTCATCATCTAATGGGAGTGAAGGGCGCAGAGAAGGAGCTCCTGTCCTTGACCAGCAGTAGACACGGGGTTCCATGATTCCCTCCTCATGTGTGATTAGGTTCCTAAAGCAGCTCACAGAACTCAGAGAATAACCTACTTGTGTTTAGCAGTTTACTAAGGGATATGAGAAAGGATCCAGTCAAAGAGGTAGATGAAGGGATACACAGGTCAGGGACTGGGAGGATCCTGAGAAATGGTTAGAATGAATTTGGTAGTTTTTAGGATCCCTTTGAGCCCCCAATGGGAAGAATTTCCAGGGACAGCAACTTTAAGTAACTAAATGCCAGCCTTCCTAATGAATCCTGCTGGTGAGTAAATTCAGAAAGATAAGCCAGTGAAAAATAAAAAAATCAGGACAAAAACAAATGGAAAATACAAGACAGTACTGTAAATCTTAAGGTGAGTTTGAAAAACTATTCATTACAGATGTTAAAGTAAGAATTCCATTATCTAACACTGTGTGTTAAGTACAGTAAAAACAAAAAAAGGATCAGAATCCCATTACACCTTATCATATGTGAAACCTCAATGTGTGAATATATGGCCAGAAATTATTCATCTGTCATGTTTATTTACTGCGTATCAGTTGAAAGTTTTCTTCTTCTTTTTTTTTAAAGTATTTCTAAGAATTCTTGAATTTCAAAAATATTACTATTTCCTACAAAACGACATGAAAATTTTATAAGTCTCCTTTTCTGTTTGGTTATGTATCTCATAATGCCTTGCCTTAAAATATCCAGAAAATGCAAAATCTTATAAAGATTCCTTTCTCGTCTAAAGGCTTTGAAGTTTTCCTGTACTCCCTGTAGACTGAGGGAAGAGCATTCCTAATTCTGACCAGGAGTGTTTGTGTCTTCATGTTTAGAAACTAGGTTGTTTCCTGGACAGTAAAATGGACCCTATCAAGCAGGTCGGGGTACACCACACAGAAATCACCAGCATCTGTAAGGGGTGTAAGAAGAACATCCATGAAGTCCAGGTGGGGAAAAGGACTCTGGAGTCTCTAATCTTGACCACCGACACCTGAATGAGGAAGGACTCACACAGGTGGGTTTTATTGCACTTTTGTCTCTTTGCCAGGGGGATGTCCATTTGGAATCCATAAAACTGTAAGCCAGGGTGTGAGATGTGTCCCTTGGGGCGGTTCTCTTGATGCTTCTGTTGTGTGAGTCCATTATTCTGGGGTCAAGGTGTGTGGGTGGGGAGTTGTGATCCTGTTTTATGTTCTGTAAGACTCTATCTATAAATTTTCTCAAGCCAAACAGCTCGAACTCATAGTGCTTTGGCCAAGTTGATGGACAACAGAGCTGTATCCTGACTGAGCCCAAATGGAAGTTCTCTCTGAAAAAAGATAAGCTTATCCTTTGCTGAGAACTGAGATGAAGCCATCCAGCAGGGGGAGCTTCCCCAATGGGCTGTCTGTTGAGTAGCTTCTTGGGACCTGTGACTGAAATGGTTCCCCTTTTCCAAACAACTGCAAATTATCACCCTCTACAGGATGAACTCACAGAGAATAATTTTGGTGCCAGGGGGCTCACATATACATATGAATTTGTTGATCTTCTGACTTTCTTTTTTTTTTTAATATTTTTATTTCATTTATTTGACAGAGATCACATGTAGGCAGAGAAGCAGGCAGAGAGAAAGGGGAAACAGGCTCCCTGCTGAGCAGAGAGCCCAACGTGGGGCTCAATCCCAGGTCCCTGAGATCATGCCCTGAGCCAAGGCAGAGGCTTAACCCACTGAGCCACCCAGGATCCCCAATGGGGTCCCTTTTCTAAAGAACTGCAGATTATCACCCTCTAGAGGATGAACTCACAGAGAATAATTTCAGCGCCAGGCGCCTCACAAATACATATGAATGTGTTGATCTTCTGACTTTTTAAGTTGCTTCTCAACCATGTGAACCTGTCGTTTCTGAATTTCAATGATCTATATCCTTCAAAGCCCTGATCTCCATATGTTTAATCTGAATTCCTTCCCAATATCATCATTTCTTTTCTTTGTTTTTCCTTGGAATAAATATACATGTAAATACATTTTGTAGAGTTGTCTGAGATTCTGCTGAGTCCTGTGGAGAAATGGGATCAATGTCTTTTGTTGACTGTGAAGGGTATTCTTGTATCAGTTGTAATCCTTGGGCTGGGGTCATCCCATTCTGATTGGGAAAAGTGAGACAGAAGTTCCCTTTGACCACAGGCCACCTCTTAATCCCTCCATTTTTTTTAAGGTTTTATTTATTTATTTGACAGACAGAGAGAGTGATCACAAGTAGGCAGAGAGGCAGGCAGAGAGAGGGGGAAGCAGGCTCCCTGCTTTGCAGAGATCCCAATGTAGGGCTCGATCCCAGGACCCTGAGATCATGACCTGAGCTGAAGCAGAGGCTTAACCCACTGAGCCACCCAGGTGCCCCATAATGCCTCCATTGTAATGAACTCTATTTTGTGTAGAAATTTGCATCCCCAACCCCAAAATGTCTCCTGTGAGGGATGGAAATTCTGTCCTGAGTAGTTCTCATGAATTCCTACAGCTTTCTTATCAGTTAAAATATCCTTCCACTGCTTAAATGTGAGATAGCTTGATTATTTATTTATATGTTTGCTTTCTCTCTGTGGAAAGTTTAATGCACTTAAGAGATGGAGCGGAAAGAAAACTAAAGGGAACACTAATATCTTTGATTCTTATTGAAATTGTCTGTTCTGTGCATAAGAGAGGTAACAGTTGATTGAGTGCACAATTGAACAATGTTAATGTATCCTGTCAAGGTTCTCTTTATTCATGGGTCAGTTTGTGTTTGTGAGTTTTTTGTTTGTTTTGTTTGTAGATTCTACATATAAATGAAGACCTATGGTATTTGTCTTTCTCTATCTGACCTGTTTTGCTTAGCATTACACTTTCTAGGTCCAGCCATGTTGTTGCAAATAACAAGATACCATTTCCTGGACTGAGTAGTATTTCAATATATGTATGTATAGCCACCTACTTCTCAACAGAAGGAGGAGCTATGAGATAGCAAATTCATATTTGCTATGAATTTACTACAACAGTCTATTTGGGTGCTTGACCACCATACAATTTTATTAATTTTTCTCACGTATAAATTCCTGTGGGGATAGCGTGTATAGAATACTATCTAGATAACATTGTAACAGAGCCATTAGTCTAATGGGGAATCTAGAGGCTCATAAAGTGGGAAAATAAAAAATCATAAATTCCAAACAACACTGAATAGTCTTTTACTAACAATATGGCAAACGTGTTTAGCTCCAAATGTATGTAGTTGTGCTTTCACATAAATGGCTCAGGTTTCTGACAATCAGCCTGAGTAATTGTCCCTGACACATGCACTCAGGCCAGGAGGGACAGGGTGAGGTTCAGGGTGGCTCTCCCTGGCAGCTCACCACTCAGCCCACAGGCTGATCACGTCCATTCCAGAGCTGGTTATACCCCACTGAGGATGTTGCCTCCCAGGGCCCAGGACTCAGTTCAGAGCACTCAGCTGCATGTTACTGCCCTAGGTTCCCAAGCACCAGTCTCTGATACCAGCTCAGAGCTTCTGCTGTGCCCGCTCCCCTCTCAGGCAGCAAACGTGCACAGTGGGGACCGCCAGACAGAGAGGTTTGTGTTCAGGCCTGAACCACTGTGGGATGAATCTTTGTAAATTTCCTGCAGTAATAAACTCCCATCTCATCAGCCTCCACCCTGCTGATTGTCAGGGTCAAATCTGTCCCTGACCCACTGCCACTGAATCTGTCTGGGACCCCAGTGAATAGGTTGGAAACCTTGAAGATCAGGAGCTATGGTGACTGACCTGGTTTCTGTTGGAACCAACTCAAATAGGTGTTTCCATTACTGTCTATGAGGCTCTGACTGGCCCTGCAGGAGATGGAGGCTGGCTCTCTGGGGGTGACAGGCAGAAAGAGTGAGGTCTGTGTCATCACATCCTCCCCCCTGGATCCTAAATTAATGAGAGATAAGGACAGATTGTGGAGAAACATTATAAGCCATTTTTATGATTTTAAGTTTCATTTGTGTTAGCTAAATCATATTTTGTGATTTGATTCTTGCTCTAAAAATATCCAATATCAATGGATAACCCAAGAATTGCAGGGCACAGAGTGGCCACAATTTTTACTTTCAGCATCTCACTAAAGCACTGTTCTTCATTCCCTTAAGTTTCCTCATAGCTTTCACTATCTCAAAACTAAATTTCCCAATTTGAGGGCAATCTCTCCCCAAGACAGAGCACACATAGGGACTAACAGCACCTAGACAGCTCACCTTCCACACCCCCAATCTCCTTCCTCATCCTCCCTCTGCTCTTACCTGGGACCCAGAGCATCAGCAGCCCCAGGAGCTGAGAAGGGAACCTCATTTTGAGAAGCCGAACTGATGAGTCCTAGTAAGTAAACACAAGCTCAGAGCTGACCTTTATGTCAGACTTCCAAGGCAAGGTCCTCCCCAGGGACAATATGCAAATCCTGTTGTGGGTGTGGCAGAGTGAAAAGAGCCAAAGACAGGGATCAGGTCCCTCTCCTGGGAGTGCAGTAACTTAAAATGTTTTCTGTGTTTGCAGGGAAACTAACAGAGACAAATTCCTTACTGCCTGGGTGGGATGCAGGATCTCCCTGTGATAACTGGGATCTGTTTCAGGACACGGTGCTCATAGCCTGCTTTCTGAGAAAGCTCCAGAGACCCTGATGATACACGCATGAGTGTCTGGAGTTCATTTCTGGCAGGTGAATGGCCATCCTGCCTGGATTCCTGTCAGCTAATGTTCAGGAGACAACAGGTCCCACTCCTACTCCAGCTGATTGGCCGGTGATCTCCAGATCCCAGAAGAACTAGAGATGGTTCAGGAGTCTCTGGGATCTGCTGTTTCCAGGTTAAAGGTTTTAGACAATTTATTAGTGATTTATTAATGAATTAAACTCATCTTGGGACCTCATGAATTATCTACTCTTTGAGAAGATGAACGTGAAAAGAACCTGACAGGTAAAGAAGAATCTCAAACTTACAGGAGGAGAATTCCTAGTCCTGCAGCAGAGAATAGGAGAGAAGACAAAATGTTATTCTTCAGACAGTGAATATGAAGTTTGTGGTAACAGTTTGTTACAACCTGGTGTGTATCTTGCCATACTTCTCCCTCTCTTCCTAGAGAGACAGATAGATGGATAGATAGATAGACAGACAAGACAGACAGTTGATAGACACATACACACCATATGGTGCATATTAGATAAGGTAAACACACACACATACCCCATATCAAACAAAGAGATTTCTTAAGTCAACATGTTCTAAGAGGATGGACAGAATGAATAATGTTTCCCATTTTCCAGAAAACAATGTTTCCCTTCCCATACAGAGGCTTCCTCATCACGTGTAAGCAGTTTCTGTCAGGAGGTCTGATTCCTTGTTAGTTCTGTGTGAGAAGTTGTTGTCTCTCACTTGGCTTTTCTGTTCAGCATCCGCAGCTCTGAGTCTGTAGTTCACATTGAGATTCTGTAGGTGAGAATAGCAAGGACTGGGATAAAACTTCTAATAATTTGAGGTCACCTGTACCCATGACGGACATTTTCTGGGACCTTCCATGGACCACAGTTACCATGGAAGAGGGTACAGGGTCAGAGCTGCTTGGGATATCAGTTTGCCAACCATCCTTCATTAAAGTTGGGACATAACCTGATGATTCTGCCTGTGTCAGCCTGATGTAGGTGTTAGTTGTTGGTGCAATTTGTGTCAGCCTCAAATTACCTCACAACTCAAGTCACTGTCGGGCAAACAAAATCCTAGAGAAACTGAAGGAATAGAATTTGTAGTTCTGTTAGATCTCAGGGAATTCAAATCCAAGGTCATACTGAACTGAAGAGTCACTGAATACATGCAAGTCCAGGCAAGATTACACAACAAATCTGGGTCTGAATATCTTCTGGGAACTCCTCCTAGAGTGCAATTTTGTACCAGAGTTGGAAGAATTAATTAGGTAACAATGGTGTTGAAAGTAAACCCTGAACTCTATG